GGCTCTAACGACCTATTGTTAGGGCTCTAACAACCTATTGTTAGGGCTCTAATGACCAGTTAGGGCTCTAACAACCAATTGATAGGGCAGTTGTTAAAAACAATGTTTGTTTTTGCCTCTAACCTTTTTGGGGATTTATCATGTCCTGGATGACTGAGAATCGTCACCATCATAGATCCATTGTTAGGCTGATGGTCTCCATTTTGCATGTGAACAGCTAGTTCTGGCTGTCAGCAGCAAACTGGTTCATCCACTATGAGAAGGTGCTATTTGTAAGAACTGAGTGTGTTGCAAGCTCTCAGACTGAATAAGTGTTTTGGATAAAAGATTAAACGTTGCCACAAGAAGAATCCATCCAGAGGACCTGACTCAACCTTGTTAGATTATTGTACCTGGATTATTGAGCAGCAGCAGGATATCCAGACTAGTATAGATTGGATCAAATCTGAGCAAGTGTTGCTTGCTTTGAAAGCTTGTCAGGACAAAACCTCTTCTCTTTAAAAAGAACAGGGAAGTATGGCCTAGGTTTGCAAAGTTGCATCTGAATGGACCAGAAGACTTCTGGAACAGTATCCTTCAGACAGATGAGACCAAAACAGTGACTTTTACCCATTATACCCATATTTGACCAAAATGTAGCACAGTATATTTGCTGAAACATCTCGTAGCAACTGTCTGTCATGGTGCTGGAGGGGTGATTTGTGCTTGTGTACAGCTACAAGGTTTGGGTTCCTTACAGTCACTGAGTGAACTAAAAGTACTCTGTAGTGAAATGTGAGAAGCCTGGACAAAACTGGGTCATGAAACAAGTGTTTTAATGGTCCTGACAAAGTCCAGACCTTAAAACTGATTGAAATGTGGTGGATGGTGCACAACCACCTGAACAGAAGCAATGTTGGAAAAGAAAGTGTGGTGAAATCATAAAAATCAATCAGGTAGAAAACCATGAGTAAGGAGTGGTGGCGCAGAGGTTAGAGAAGGTGAGCCTGTGATCGGAAGATCGCCAGTTCAGCTCCCGGTACAGTCAACATCAAAATGTGGGTGGGAAAGGTGAAACACCCACACCTGCCTCCACCCTCCTTTGCTCCACTCTGGGCCCTTGAGCAAGGCTCTTAACCCCCATCATCTGATCCTCCGGACACCCTAGACAGCAGCTTTTTGCTCCACACAGAGGGCTGTGGTAGCTCGGTGTCTGTGGTTGTGTCAGGAAGAACATCCAGTGTAAAAATAATTGCCAAGTCTTTGTGTGACTTAGTTCACTGTGGAGACAGAAGGGAGCAGCTGAAAGACAGAAGGAAGCAGCCGAAAGACAGAAGGGAGCAGCCGAAAGACAGAAGGGAGCAGCCGAAAGACCGAAGGGAGCAGCCGAAAGACCGAAGG